GGGAAAATGAGGTAAAACCTTTAAAATCCTTCTTCTACCATAGGGATTAAGAGATTTTATCCTCATTAAGTCTGTAGCATCCTTGGGCCATGGGGACTCAATTTTGTATAAGCAGTGGGTGTGGTCTTCAAGGGGGCAGAAGGGTGGGGCCCAATAGGGGAAATAGAGGTACAACCTTTAAAATCCTTCTTCGATCATAGGGATTAAGGGATTTTATCCTAATTTAGTCGAGAGCATCTTTGGGCTAAGTGGACTCAATTTTGTATAAACAGTGGATGTGGTCTCCCAGGGGGCAAAAGGGTGGGGCCCACTAGGAGAAATAGAGGTAAAACCTTTAAAATCCTTTTTCGACAATCTGGATTAAATGATTTAATCCTTATTTAGTCTGGAGCATCCTTGGGTCAAGGGGACTCAATTTTGTATAAACGGTCGGTATGTCCCCCTAGGAGCATAGGGGTGGGGCTCTGTTTGAAGTTTGTCCTCGCTATATCTCAAGTACTACTTGCAGCACCTACCATGGAGTGCTATATCTTTACTTCATACCAATTATTTTAAACATATTCAGTTGAGTGATACAGGCCCTCTGGGCCTCTTGCTTGATGTTATGAACTGATAACATCAAAAAATAAACCAATAGAAATGCTTGTTTCAAACTGAATCAAATTATTGTAAGATAAATGATTGCCAGTTCTTCTTTATTCTAATATGATGGCCCATCCTTGTTAGCCTATTTCTAATATGATGGCCCATCCTTGTTAGCCTATTTTTAATATGATGACCCATCCTTGTTAGCCTATTTCTAATAGGTTGACCCATCCTTGTTAGCCTATTTCTAATATGATGGACCATCCTTGTTAGCCTATTTCTAATATGATAACCCATCCTTGTTAGCCTATTTCTAATATGATGACCCATCATTGTTAGCCTATTTCTAATATGATGACCCATCCTTGTTAGCCTATATCTAATATGATGGCCCATCCTTGTTAGCCTATTTCTAATATGATAACCCATCCTTGTTAGCCTATTTCTAATATGATGGCCCATCCTTGTTAGCCTATTTCTAATATGATAACCCATCCTTGTTAGATTATTTTTTTGCAGTTACCTCCCCCTTGTTAGCCTATTTCTAATATGATGACCTATCCTTGTTAGCCTATTTCTAATATGATGACCCATCCTTGTTAGCCTATATCTAATATGATGGTCCATCCTTGTTAGCCTATTTCTAATAGGATGTTAGCCTATTTCTAATATGATGGCCCATCCTTGTTAGCCTATTTCTAAAATGATGGCCCATCCTTGTTAGCCTATTTCTAAAATGATTGCCTGTCTTTGTTATTTTGATATGATCATGCACCCATATTTACTTGATTCTACTTTTGTCTGTACTGATACTAAATGTTCTATAGATTATACAATATCTATTTTCTTTCCTTCTTTTTTCAAGATCTTGGGTGGAGGCATTTCAGAAAGTGGTAAGTAATAAAAATTTGAAATTCTTTCAAAAGACTAATTCAGATTTATAAGCTCATCTGCCTGAAGGGCAAGTGGGCTTATGCCATGGCGCAGCATCTGTCGTCTGTCTTTCAACTTTTCATTTAAAACTTCTAAATTTGGCCTAGAACATCCTTTGGCAAAGGGGACTCAATTTTGTATAAACTTAGGGTGTGGTCCCCCCTGGGGGCAGAGGGGTGGTGTCCAATAAGGGAACTTGAGATAAAACTCTGGGCCTCTTGTCAATGTTTGTAACTTATTTCCTGTAGTTTAGATATCATTCCCATTTCCTATTGGTTCTTACTGAAAGCAGTGTGTAATAAAGAAATCGTCAACATATATGCATGTATTATGCTGGAATATGTAATGGGGAAGAAAAGAAAATTGTGGGGAAAAAACTGAATGAAAGCTGTTTCTGCTCAACATTTAGGATTCCAAGTTATGTATTTCATGCACTTCTACATTTTGTTTGTATGATTCAGTAACTAGAAGACAATGTATACTTGATTATCCAATTGTTTAATAAACTGTCACATGATGCCTCCTTTTTATTGCATCAACAAGTCATTTTCACAACTGACATCATAATTTTGGTCGCCACAGCCAGTAGTGCTCAGTTGTGCCTATTTTATATGGATATATGCGGAAATGTTTAGATATATTTATATGCACACATGTGCCCTCACTCAACAAAGCTTATTTGTCAAAGACCCACATGGCTAACTTCAGCTTGTTTCCAATTACAATACAACTTCGGCATTTGGAATAGCATTGTATGCATATGTATTATTGTTAAATGATGCATTTCTTTTAACAATTGACAAGTGTCTTAACAGCAGCAGCACGCTAGAATTGTGTATAAACTTGACTTAATTATTTTTTTGCAGTTACCTCCCCCTCCTCAGCCATCTCATCCTCCTCCTCAACCCGCTGCACCTCAAGTACAGGTGCTTCATCAGCCACAGATGTATCCTAGTAAGTACACAAAATAAGGAATTAAGTTACTGCTGCTAGCTTCAGAATGAGTTCTAATGTTGTGAATTATAATTCCATTGAACCAACTGTTTCAGTTCAACCTTACAATATTTGTCCTTATATTTTGCAGATGGTGGAGCACCTCCTAACCATTATGGTCAGCAACCCTGTAAGTCTGTATTCTGTATTAGTAAAAATTAGTTTCATACCCCAGCATAGTTCGTCCCAACTTTGATTTCTGAACTGCTGAATATTGTCAGATTCAGGACACAATATGCATCTCACAGAAGTTTGTGACCTGAAAATCATGGTTAAATGTCAAAAAACAAGTCACTTCAATTTTTGTTGTGGCCATGACTTTAAGACTGCTGTATATTATTTGGGAGTATGAGTATCTAGACAAGATTTTGTGTAGTATAACAGAGGTCTTTACTCTCAAGGTCAAAGTCATAACAATTGGTTAAAGCTGAATCAATGAACAGTACTGTAAAATAAGAACTTCTAGGTGATGACTAGATATAGTATCTTGTGTTACACGTTTGTATGTGCACCCAAGTTCATGGTCCGCAAGTTGAAGAATTAAGAGTTTGAAGTTAAACTCACATTAATGTATCATCACTTCTGAACTCCTGAAGTAGATTTGACAAACTATGAAACATGATGAGTATGATGACGTTATGCTGTGTTGTACACCACAAACAGTTATTTACTCTAAGGTCAGGGTCACAACAATGGTCAAAATATCAAATTACTGCAATGCCTGTCCAGGCTGTACATTTTCAATTGTTGCGTTTTGTGGTGACATTTCCAGGGTTTGTGTTGTATGACTTGATGGTATGTTGCTTAACTTAAACAAGTATTTTTGGTCAGAACATAGTTATATGAAACTGCATAGATGGACATTGTGTCTAATATTACACCCTAGAGGTCAAAGTCTTGGTGGGTTAGCTTTGTGAACCATTTCCTTGTCTTATTTTGTTCAAATTGAGATAGATAAATATAGGTCAGTTTGAGTTCTTCATGTAAATTATACACTTTTTATAAAAACATCAATGAAGTAAGACAGGTCAAGCTGTATGCATTTTTAGGCTACATGTAGTCTAGAAAAGATTATAAGGTGCCATTTTGCTTTTTTATTGCCTTTTTTCTGATTTCAAATTTTTTATTTCTTGATATAAAAATTGAATTGAATTATAAAGAAAATTGTGTGAAGAATATAGATAAAGCTGTAAAAACATCATATTTTACCTGAGTGTAATTGAATGTTATTTTTGATACATTAAGTTGATGACAGATAAAATATATAGTAATCACATTGCCTGTGTTTTCTAATGGTGGAACTTGTTTTGTCCTCAGATGGTGCACAGCCTCAGCAGTATGCAGGTTTGTATACATATTCCCCATATTCAAGAAATGTATAGTCAGCATTGTTATTTATTGTAATTTACCAGTGTTATCAACACTTATAATCACACTTTCGATATAGGGTTGTAGCCATGCATATGTAAAAACATAATGCAGGTGACAGACACAGTGGCTGCCTCAAACTTGTTAGTGCATGTTAGGGACTTTATGATGATGAGTTTTTCATTTTCATTTTTAATTGAATACAAATATATATATGCCTGTATAATAATGTTTGTATATTTGTATACGAATGTTGATATAATTCTCTAAGAATGTTTATTCATGTTTATTTGTTTAATGTTGTATAATTCTCTACAAATGTTCATATATTTCTCTACAAATGTTTATACAATTTTCTATAAATGTTTGTATAATTTTCTACAAATGTTTATAATTTAATCTTGCTTGTAACAAGCATTTTCATTGGCTTGAAAATTTATGTTATCAGCCCATAACGTAAAAAATGACGTCGTTGTTTGTAACGTCGCTTTTGATTGGCTGATACTGCAGCGCAATAATTTCTAAGAGAAAAGAGTCCATCAATAAAAGTGGATTTCCACAGGGATTGTGTATAGTAGATTAAATTATAAGGATTAACTTGAATATATTTTTCATGTTATGGAGCTATAACACAAAAAAACCGGAATGTACTATCATCATTAACCGCGACGGTTTATGATGAGAGTACACTCCGGTTTATTTAGAGTACACTCCGTTTTTTTGTGTGTTATATCTCCATAACATGAAAAATATATTCAAGTTAATCATTAAATATTTTTGTTAACTAATATTTATATAATTCTTTTTAAATGTTTATATATTTTATTTTACATAGGACAAACTACGACAACGACAGTGGTTGTAAATAACACCCATCATACACAGACCCATCACAGTAGTGGTGGTGGTGGATTAGCGACAGGTATGTCTGATAAATATTCAGGTATCACTCTTCAACACTGCCAAGTCTTTAAGACAACAAAAAAACAAAACTTAGTATATTCGATACAAGGTTATACAAATCAAATGTGTGATTTTTTATAGAAGAATTCAAATTTTGAATTTGTGTTTTGCACAGGAGAATTTAAAATAGAAGTTTAAGCACCATTTTCTCATTGCAGGATTAGTACTTGGAGGAGCCTTAGGCTATGGAATGGCCCGTCCCTATGGCTGGGGATACGGATGGGGATGGGGTGGTTATGGCTATGGGTACCATGGATGGGGCTCTGGCAGTTGGGGAAGCTTTGGTTCCCATGGCTGTGGTGGCCATGGTGGGGGTGGTTGCAGTGGGGCTGGTTGTGGTGCCGGCTGTGGAGGAGGTTGTGGAGGCGGAGGATGTCAAGGTGGGGGTGGTGGTGCATGCGCGGCAGGGGATGGAGGAGGTTGCCATGGTGGGGATGGGGGTGGGGGTGGGGATGGAGGTGGATGTGGGGGAGGCTGTGGAGGTGGGTGTGGGGGAGATTAGATCTTATATATTATTGATCTATATGCAAAGACTGTTCTAAATTCATAGACAAATTTTGTCCTAAAAATTACCAAGCAAGCTCCTTGACTACAATGATGAAGGCGTTGATCAGAATGTGCTGGATTTTATTTCACTTATTTTAAACATAGTTTACACTTGATATTTCCTTATCTCTTCTATGTATAGCATTTATAGAAGAACAGGAAATAAGTTAAATACGGTTGTATGTGCACATTTATGTTAATTTTTCATAAATAGGACACTGACTATTTACACTTAAGAAAATAATTAAGATTAATGTAAAGATAAATGATTCACTTCTTAGATACCAACAATACGTTAGAAAGGTTTGATTAAATATAGTTTGTGTTAAGTAATGTGCCTGTATAGAGGTTGTTGTTTTTACATTTGATTCCCAAATAAGGAATATTTTATTTCCTACATTTGTTATAACATATTTCCTATATTTTTATGTATGCCGTTTTTACGACTATTTGAATTGTGATATTAATACATCCGTCCAGTAGTGCTCACTTGACAGATTTTCCATTAGATATTGTTAATGTCTTTACCATTATTACTAGTGTTGATTGTCATGTTCCAAGATAAAATCGATACTTTAAATTGTGTTTGGCGTACTTCAGATACATTATTGTGATTGAACTAAAGTATCCTAGAGGAATTTTGCAAATTAGATGGGATGTTATATAAATGTCTTATAGCAATTACTGAGGTACAACAATAATTTGGAATGCCCATATTTACCTGCTCCATTCAATTTGCACCACTCACCTCTATCCTCTGACCGTCCTCATATGACCCTGGCTGTTACTAGTACGTAAAACTGCAAACAAACAAACCTCCACCCTGAAGTCTACTTCCATCTTGAGCCTCTATAAAACTCTCTGTGTCATCCTACATCACCGTCTGCTGGATAACCGAAATACGCGGTAGTGAAGCGGACGTAAAACCTATCAATCAATCAATCAACGAACATCACCCTGTGCCACCCTTAACAGCCTATATAAAGGGTTACCTGTAGACATCAGCACACAACCTCTGATGAGTTACACATTGTAACGAAATTAGTCAGGAACACAATAGGTTATTTTGTAGCCACACAATATGGACTGATGAAATGACTCTTCCCAGTTGTCCTTATAAATGTTGTATATTTTTTGTACAATCTTTATTATAATCAATGTTGTGTTTGTACCAAGATGCATTAGATATATTTCTGAGATGGGATCAGTACTTTGTGGTTGAACCTACCAGGTATTTCAGATGTATTGTTGACATAGAACCTTTCCCTACATCAAATACACTAAGGGGACCAGTGCTTTCTTCTGTTCCAATATCAGATATGTTGTTGAAATAGGACCAGTATGGTACTTTGTTTTGTACATATATGAAACATATTGATGAAGTTTGTGTTTGTACCGACATGCCAGGAATATCGTACATTTTACTGAGATTAAACCATACTTTGTACCAGCATCAAAGAAACTGTTGAGATGAGACTATTTCAATGTATTGTATCTATATCAGACCCCATATTCATGAAACCGTTCTCATGCTGAAACTCCAGCCCAATTTCTTGTTTTAGTGATTAATGAATAAAGAATCACATTTTGTAGATGATTTTGGAGAAACTCATAGCCAAATTATGTTTTCAGTGTTTACACTTGACTATCTGATGACCGGGTCACATGACTACCTGATGACCGGGTCACATGATTTAAGTAAGTTACCAGAAAGTCTATTTGAGCTCAGAACACTGAGCATGAGAACTGTTTCGTTAATAACAGCCCAGATGAGCCACACTTTGCGTCTACATCAGATATGATCAATTTTCTGAGGCTAATGCTAACATTTTTTAAATACTTTAAAAACAATTTTGATATAATGTCTATTCCTTTTTTGAAATATCTATACTTTCTTTTTAAGAACAGAATTTCCCCACCAGTTTAGATCCTTTGTTGAGATTATTCTGGCAGGTTATGCCATTTCTCACATTCTATGAAGGAGACTCACATTATGTAATATCTCCTCAAGCCAAGTCCTTTCCCAACTCGCACGAGTCGAATCTCTAGTACCCGGTAATAGTTCCGTGTGACCAGTTTAGGAACCCCAAATTATGGAGTTTGAAAATATTTTTTGAAATTCTCAACAATTACATTGTTGAGACTGTATATTACTTAAGAAACAATGTAAGGAATATTACGGGCCTTTAGTTTTCCAACCTCTCCCCTCCCCAATGTGGCACCTTTTTTTGTTTTTGTGTGTGTTTGCAAATGTAGGGGCCATAATCTTCCCTTAAATTAGGCAAACTTAAACATTCCATGGGTCATTTGAAACTTTAGGGCTTGCAGAGCCAGAAGCATTTTAAACCCTAAAAAAAAGTCCCAATTTGCAGAAAAAAACATAGTTCCATTGTGGATTAATATTTAAGCAAACTGTTTCTATTACCAAGAAATAAATAATTCATTATATAATAATATTTGATTTTTTTTAAGCAACATATATTTCTATTACCAAGAAATAAATAATTGATTAAAATATGGAAAACTTTGCAGCTACCTGATAAGTTTTTCTATTAATGCACTTGGTGAAAGGATCTGTTTCCCGCATGAAATTTAATGTTAAATATTTGTACGGAGGGAAGTCACCAAGAAGAAATGTTCTTCTTAATATCATTTATCAAAACGAGGTACCCACCCAGGTACTAATACAAAATATGTTATTTACCTAGATGTTTAACAATATATTTTTTCTGTTTTATTACATTTTCAAATTTCATTTTTTTATCATTTTTTTGCTGGTTTCAGTTATCATTCAAAATAATATTGTTATATCTAAGCCTTATATGATCATTTCTTTCTATTCTGAAACATAATTTAAACTTGTCAGCACGACACTTAAATGCACCAGGCTGTGATGCTGTTTTTAAAAACTTGATTTATGTCATAATAATGGAGCAGTTAAATCAAATATATCATGCAAATATGGAAATACTGAAACCTTACAATTCAGATTATGCATTTTTAACTATGTTTGAATTCCTATTTCCCACTCAAAGTATGACATCATTTAAGCATTATCTATATACACCGAGTACTCAGCAATCCAATTGCACTTTTATCTCTTGTTTGAATTTATTGTAGAATACATTTTTAATGCTTCAAAGACTTATTGCATTGAAGAATATTTTATTGTTTTACTTATTAAGTTTTGAGCTGTGTGACTGGAATAACACATTTATATTTGGTGTCATTTACATGTGTAGACATATGTAATATATAATCCTGTTAATATCTTTGTCATTTTAATATCAGTGCATATCATTAATAAAGTTTGATACATTGTTTGTTTTACAAGGACGTTTTGTTTGTTGTGTTACTGACACTCTTGTTTAAAGATGGGTATAATACCTCGACACAGTGCTGAAGTCTTATGTATGACTTGGACAGTTATGTATGACTTAGACAGTTATGTATGACTTGGACAGTTATGATGACTTAGATGGTTATGTATGACTTAGACGGTTATGTATGACTTAGACAGTTATGATGACTTAGAAAGTTATGTATGACTTAGACAGTTATGTATGACAATTCATTGAGCAGCCAAACAGCTGCTTGTACAACCCAATGAAATGGAATGGATAATCAATATATGGCTTAAAATAAAGAAGTAACCATTATGTAAGATATAACTGCTCCGGGATTGAAAACCCTACAGTAAGTCTCTGATAGTCTAGATATCCCTACTGAGCTTCTTTGTCTGTGGTTGCTAGGCCATTTTAGGTAACAATGATGTTTGAGGTAGCGAGGTCTGATGAGGTAGCGAGGACTGTTGAGGTAGCAAGGACTGATAAGGTAGTGAAGTTGAAGCAGTTGATTGTGTAGTGAGAGTAAAGAAATCTCAAATTTCTTTGGAAAACCATATGTTATCAAGACTTTAATGGGATATCTTGCCTTGCTGCTAATGGAACGCCTTCCTTCTAATGGGACATTGTTAGTTGCATGATGATAGGAGCAATACTAAATATGCTGTCACTCTTTTTAATAGATATGTCTCACATCTAATCGTAACATTCTTTCTTTAATGTTTTACTTGAAAATGCTTTTAAAAGGTCTGACATGAAATTTGGCAAACATCTCCAAGTTAGTTTAGATGTGGAAGTTATCAGATCTAAACTGCTACTTCTCACATGCCATGACTATTGGCCAGTCTTTGTCATGTCATCGATTCATTTTTTCTTTCCTCAGATGAAACTGCAAACTAAACATCCGACTCAAAAACACTTCAAAATCCGAAGAAAAAAATCCATTTATTGTTTTGCTCACCCTTATTTATCTTTGACATTCAGAGTCTTTATGTTTATTTAGAAGAAGTTATTTCAATGGTTTAACAGTTGACCCCCATGACCTTCATTTGAAAATGATTGGCTGCCGGACTGGATAGCTAGTGCACACGTTTTTCACCAATATTGTCAGGGTTTGACTCCCTAATCAGAGGTGCAAAGTTATTTGGTCACCTGCCGGACCACTTGGGTTTTCTCCAGGTACTCTGGTTTCCTCCCACATTAAAATCTGCATCTCCCTCCAGGCCAACAAAAGTTGAATAATCTTGGTTCATAGTTGTTGCAAAAACAATTTTAGTTTATATTTAATTATTTGAACAAAATTTACAACTCTTTATCCCAGCATGCTACAAGCTAAACATGACATACAGTGTCTTGGCTATTTAGAAGAAGTTTTTTCAAAAGTCTTTAATACACTTGATCAATGTGGTCTTGAAAGTGAGTCCAGATCTTTCATTTACTAGTAATACAAATTGATAGTGTTTCATCCTAGCATGCTACAAACCGATTATTAAGATTCAAAACCTTTTACTTATTCAGAAGAAATATCTCCGAGATTTCAACACATTGGACCCTACTACTTTTAAAGTGTGCTATGTAATGTTATTCTTCTC